CGGTTTGCTTTCAATGTACACAACACCATTTTTCAACTCTAATTTTGTCAAATATTCAACCACCTTTTAGTTTGCCTTTTTTATGGTCTCCATATGATGACTAAATTCAACAATCGTAGAAGCATATGCGACTGCAAAAACTGCCCCTTTCACTGTTTCTTGATTTTCTTTGTAGTTTGTCACGATATTCTTTGACAAATGATAGGTACAACAACAATAGGCAGCATTAGGATAAACCTATATAACAACACAAGAATATAATTTAATTATTTAAAAAAAAAGTAGGTTTTAACCATCATACTTATTTAATGTTGTTTCAGATTTTAATCAACATGCTTATTTAATGCTGTTTCACAGTTACGGTAAGTTGTTCTTGTATTTACACAAAATTTGATTTTATTCCATCAACTTTGAAAATTATTTAATATTTAATATCAAATATATTAATCTTATTTGTGTACCTTTAATACAACATTCTTGATGCTTGGGTAACGATCCGATACTATGCATAACCCACTTCTTCGAAGTTAGTAGGCCTTAAATTTGAAAAGAACCTTTCACATGATTGTTTTTTCTCAAATCAACAACTGCATATGCAAGGGGAAGTATGTGACCGGCAGCATCTTGATTGCTTTTTGTAATGAGTATTCCCCCGTCAGTTGCTTTGAGGAAGGTTCCGTCCAAAATGATTATTGGTCGACAATGGTCTTATCCGTTCAATGAAGCTTCCAATGATATAAAGACACACCCATATCTTTTCGACATTTATGTTTTAAGTCTTACAAATGATCCTGGATTAGCCTCTTTTAGTGTTTCAAGATATCTAGACAAAATTTGATAGGATTTGTAGGGATGACTTTCTAATGCTTTTTGTCGTTTGTCTTTGGGGATAGAAAAAACAAAGAGGCACATATTTCAGTTTTTGAGTGACAGAATAAAAAAAAGCGTGGGGAGCTATAAAACAATGTTTATGTGAGGCAAGAAAAGAAATGTCATGTCATGTTTTAGACTGTCTGTCTCAGTGTGCAAGGATATTTGTAGAGAAGTGGCTAGGCTCTTGTGGGGTGATAGTATGGCTGGGTAAAATAAAATTCATTGGGCAGGGTGGGATAAACTAGTTGTTCCTAATGAGAATAGGGAATTGGGGTTTAGGAATCTAAGGGCTTTCAATGAAGCTCTCATCGTAAAACAATTGTGGAGATTGATAACCAGCGCAATTTACTATTTACTAGTGAGCAGACTCTTGAAGGTAGGTACTTCTAGAAAGATTTTTTTTTTTGAAAGTTAAGCCCAAGAGTTCTGATTCATGGTTGTGAAAGAGTTGGCTAGAAGTAAGAGTGTCTTTTCAGTTGGGAGCTAAATACTAGGTGAGGGATGGGGATTCTATTCACTTCTGGGATTCCCCTGCGATCCCCAATGTTCCTTCTTTTAGACCTTCTTGTCGCTTTCTTGGTGATAGGTATAGGATTAGCAAGATTTTTGAGTTGATGAGAGAGAGAGAGAGAGACAGGGGTAAAGACATTGTTGAACAAACCTTCAATTTCATAGAGGCAAAGGCCATTTTGAAGATTCCTATTAGTTTGTTGAGGCTGAATGATAGATTAGTGTGGCATGGAAGCAAGAAGGGGTTTTTTATGTTAAAGGGTCTTGTTGATGGACGGATCCGATCAACGGTTAAGATACGAGGTAATAAAAGTGTGAAGTCGAAAATAGAGAGAATACGATTTATTATATATTCACATAGTCGGCTTCTTGTACGAGGTCGGCACTTGTGTTGCAGATAGAGTTATTACAGGGATTTATTACAGATTTTTAGAGAGAGAAAGTAGAGAGATGTAGGAGTTAGTTGGGGATTCAACAACCTCAGCACACATGAAGGTGGCTACTATTTATAATATCATTAAATGCTACTGTTCCGGCACTGTTCACTGGTCTCATCGTTCAGTATTGTTGCAGATCAGGTTGGCGCTTTTCTGTCAGGCATTAAATGCGATTTGAGGTTCTGCAATAATGACCTGTTAGGCATTTAATGCAACCCATGTGAGCATTAAATGTCGTCAACCCTTTTGTCGGGCTAGATCGCCTAAGGCAATAGGGTAGAACGGTCTGTCCCATCCCCCAATCATTAGCCACGAACTTGCGATATTATACTATTATCCAACCCCGCACCTTTCTCTGGGTTGTTCGACTTGGATCCCAGATCGGCACCTGAACTTCTGGATTTCCCCCGAGGCCTTCGGGATGCGTCGTCCTATTCGGTACGTTGACAGGTCGGCACTCCGCATAGCAAGTGCTGATCTCTGTAATCGTGCAGTATGTTGTCGTGACTAACTTTTGTCTTCATCCAGCTCCGCACTGGTCGTCGTCTCGTGGCCCGATCCTGACCATGAGGCCGGCTCTTCCTGATTTCTATGACCAAACCAGTAATTCCTGGTCGAGCCGATCTGGATATTAACATACAGGCCCAAAAGCTCGGATGTGAGGTTCGTGGCGTCTCATCTGAGGCCGTCGCTCATAAAGGTCCGGGTCTGCCCGATCCATGCTTTTTGCGGTTTGCCTGCGAGATCGGCACTTCCCCTGTACTTGGTGAATTTTTGCAGGATTTGACCGAGCATTAATAACGTCAACCGAAACGACGCGAGTTAATGCGACCTGACCGTTACTTTTCCGCCGATACGAAAAATTGTGTCGCCTTTAATTATGGCCCACGTAGCATACACGTGGCACTTCTCTGTCCGCTGATTCCGAAAATCATATCCATCAGTTACACCATTTCAAATTTTCGAAACTCAAAATTTCCGACACGTGTCTCCATCTTATTGGGCGCTTGCTTCTATAAATTAAAGCCCTAAACTGATTTCCCTATTTTTCTTCTTCCACCCTGCGATTTTGTCCACTGGATTTTCAGAGAGAGGGATTTTTCGAGCGAGATATTTTCGAGCAGATTTTTTGGCAAAGTTCGACCGTCGTTCCCAGCAATATTTTCCTTTGTGGTAATTTGACTTTTGGTTGTAGTCTTTTCTTTTTGCTTTTTTCGGTTATGTCTTCTTCTCCGAGATCCGGTTCTGGTGTCGGCGCATCCGGCGGCAATACCGACTCCTCCGGTGACGTGTCGATTCCCACGACGAGAAAGTTGGTGGTTTACTCCCCGTTATCGGCCGTGAATGAACTTCTGGAGGTGGTTCCCCTCGCTACAGTCAGTTCGGATTCCTCTACGACCGAAACGGCTTCCGGCGGTGACGGCGGCCCTGGGTTGAGAGATTCCTCTCCCTCAGCGCGTAAGGGTGACAGGCTGGATTTGAACCAAACTGTCGAAGGTGGAGGTGAAGAGGATGTGAACCTGGACTTCCTCGTGTCTGATCCGGATGTCGACCAGGATTTGGTTGACGAAACTCTTCGGGGCGACACAGAGGGGCATGAGAGACTGACGATGGGTCGCGGCGACGAGGCCACCGATGCCGAGATCGAGATGGTGACATCAGTTCCTCCTGGCTTTTGGCGTCGTCCTCCCCGGGTCTGGGCGACTCCTAGCGAAGCGATGGCTCGGTTTATGCCCTCGGTGATAGACGATGCCAATTTGGCTCAATTACAGAGTAAGTTCAACTTCGGCCCTGGGGGTTCACCTATTCGTCCCGTACACCGGAGATCGTATCCACTGCCCGCCGCCAGGCTGCATAGGGGTTTACCGGGACAGTGTCCGTCTCGGGCTTCGATTTCCCCTGGAC